CAGTCAGGGTCCATAGGGTCTTGGTCTCTGTCTTTGTGATGGTCGTGAGGCAAATGAGGGAACCTTCGGACTATGAGGGAAACTTTAGATGTCTCTTACAGCCTGTCACTGTCACCTGTCCCAGGCAGCCCAGAGGAGGGAGCTCTGCAGCTCTCCCTGTCAGCATTCTCCTTCCCCCTCCACCACGGCACTGTTCTGGGCTTCTCCCTCAAAATACAGCTGCCCTCTGGAGCTGGGAGAGGCTCTCCCCACTCACCACGTGTCACCTCCCAAAAGGGCTTTGGCTGCTCACAGAACAGCCTCTTTCCTCTTGCCATGCCGCTGTTGTGCCATATTTAGTGACTCTCTCCCCACCTGAAGCTCTCTGTTGGATTCCTGGGTCAGCAGGAGGAGCCTGGCACACATCCTCTTGCATACAGACACACACTTTGTTGTTTTATTTTAATCATCAAAGCCAGACCTTTGTTGCCACCACATGTTGTCCCACAAAGGCAGAGCTGTCAGCTCAGCCAGCCTGTGGCAGAGGGAGCCTCCTTTCTGGAGTTTATGGCAAGCTTTTAGCTCTTTTGCTAATTTCCATTCCAAAGGGTCAGGAAACTAAATAGGAAGCTCTGACTTCTTTGGAGGTGTGTGGAACACTTGGACACCTTGTTGACCTCTTTCATTTCTTGTGAGCCAGAATTGCTGTACACAAACAAGGTAAACCAAGGTGGTTTTTTACTAAAAGCAAATCTCTCCTGTTTTTTTCCCACAGCTTTGTGTGCAGCAGGAGTGGCCACGTGCTGGAGGTGGACTGCAAGGACGTCTGTGTGCGGAGTGCACGGTGCCTGCTGCCTGCACAGCCCCAGGAGGACGGGCAGGAGCAGGCAGGGAACAGCTCAGGTGGGAGCAGGAGCAGGGAGGGAACAGGAACAGCTTAGCTGGGAGCAGGAACAGGCAGGAAACAGGAACAGCTCAGGTGGGAGCAGAAACAGGCAGGGAACAACTCAGGTGGGAACAGGAGCAGGTAAGGAACAGCTCAGGTGGGAACACGAGCAGGCAGGGAGCAGGACCAACAACCAGTGACCACCTCCACCACCATGGGGGTCAGAAATCTGCTCAAACCAAGCAGCTCTTTACCTACTGCTGAAGGATTATTTTGGGGTTGTTTAGATCATTGCTATTTGTCTCTTAAGGACTGCAAATAATCTTCCATAGTACAGCAAAGTATCGTTTTAAGAAAGATTTTAGCATTTTAAATGCTGATTGCACTTTCAGAGAAACACTACTTTTAGAAACATGAGACAAGGTCTTCATTTGCTGATGGGAGGCTTAATGGAGAGATGGAAAAAGAACTAAGATTAACGAAAAAGATGAATTTGGGGATTTTTTCATTATTCAGCTGCTGCAGAGCGTTCGGGGAATCTTTGTTGCTCTACATTAAGTAGACCAACTTTCAGCTCTTCCATTAACTTGAGCAGCAGGAAGAATTCATTTTGAAGTGTGATTGCTCTGATATCTTAAAACTTAGTGCATAGTTTGCTTTGGCAAATTGAGCTAATCAATCTATAATGTGGCCTTTGAGAGGCAAGCAACTGCAGTTCTCACTTCATGGGCATGAAAGGGCCCAGGAGGAGATGAAGCAAAGTCCTTGGTGCCTCTTGGTCTCAGTGCTCGCTCTGACTTACGGCTTTTAGACCTGAATTTAGGTTGGATATTGGGGAAAATTTCTTGACTGAAAGTGTGGTAAGGCTTTGGAACAAGCTGCCCAGTCTGTCCCTGAAAATGTTCAAAAAGGCTGTGGTGGCACCTGAGCGTGGCACCTGGGGACATGGGCTGGTGGGGGATAATGGTTGGGCTCAATGATGTTTTCCAGCCTTAATGATTCTATGAATCAAAAACTCCCAGTCTGTGGATCTGTATCTCCCTTCTGCAGAGAGGCTTTGGCACAGGGCAGTGAAAGGGTTTGTACCTCAGGCAGTTAATCCGGGATATCCTTTGCTATGGGATCCTGTTTGAGGCAAAAATATGGCAGAGGTAGGAATCTTCTGTGCCTGGCAAGGGTTTCACACTGGTAAATAGGTATTTGGAGCCCTGAGAAGGGCTGGCTGAGACCCTTCAGCCTGTTCTGCCTGTCTCTGTGGGGTTCCTGCACCCTCCTCAGGCTCAGCTGGGTGTGGGTGGGCTACCAGCCCCAGCTCTTGCATGGGCCCCTCTCAGGCTGAGTTTTCTTGTTTCACCTGTATTAGGAGCTGTTGTTTTTTGGTTTCCAGGCCCTGGGATTGCTATAAACAGTATCAGCATGTCCTCGAGCTTCTGTGCCACGGGATCAGAGGATGGCTACGTGAGGCTGTGGCTGCTGGACTTCTCAGCTGCTGTCCTGGAGGCAGGTGAGTAGAGGTGGGAGTGGAGCTTCTGAGCTGCACATGTCCTGCTGCAGATCCAGAGCTCCACTGCCACAGCTCCCACAGCAATCCTTGTGAGTCAGGGCTGTGTGACGTGTGCTGCCTCCAGGGCTCACTGCCTTGGAAGTCTTCAGTGGCAATTATTCATGTTTATTCTTGTAACTCATAGGAGAAAGGCAGGATCTCCTGGGAGAGAGCAGACTTTCCATCTTGATTTCTGTCCCTTTCTAGCCACAGCTCATCTGTCCATGAAAAATTAGGGGAGAAGTCGAGCAGTCCTTGATTGTTTTTGAAGCAATCACCATTACAGCAGAGCCCAGGGATGCTAGGAAGGGCAGAGACTAATCTCTAATCTGTCACAACTCACACCTGCAAGCATTCAGTCTGAGTCGTGGGCATTGCTTTCCTAAATGTGGGTCTGTGTCACAGACATGTTTTATGAAAAATCCTTTCCTTAAAATTTTTTCTCCTGAGAAGCTGAGAGGCCTCAGAAACAAAAAGTAAACATTGATTATCTGCTGCTGTGGAATGCATCTGTGATTGGTCTCATGTGGTTGTTTCTGATTAATGGCCAATCACAGTCAGCTGGCTCAGACTGTCTTGGTCAGTCACAAGCCTTTGTTATCATTCCTTTTCTATTCTTAGCCAGCCTTCTGATGAAATCCTTTCTTCTTTTAGTATAGTTTTAATATAATATATATAATAAAATAATAAATCAGCCTTCTGAAACATGGAGTCAACGTTCTCATCTCTTCCCTCATCCTAAGACTCCTGCGAACACTGCCACAGTCCGTAGCTGTGTTCCAGCTGCTCCTTTCCCAGAGGATTTATTGACTCCTGTGTCTTTCCCCAGAGCATGAGGCTTCAGTGAGCTGTGTCTGCATCAGCCCAGATGGCCACAAAGTGCTGTCCACGACAGCTGCTGGGAGCCTGGGCTACCTGGACGTGCAGGCCCGGGACTACAGCACGCTGATGCGCTCCCACGGGGGCTCCGTGCTGGGCTTCTCCCTGCAGGGCAAGGGGGAGCACATGGCAACAGTGGCCCAGGACAGCACCATCCGAGTGTGGGACCTCGCCTCCAGGCAGCAGGTGGGTGACACAAGGGGCAGGTTGTTAGGAAGGATGGAAGTTTGACAAGGAAGTCTCACAGATTTGTGTATGCTTAGCAGAAAGATTTTTCAACGTAGGGTCTGATGGAGGAATAGAGATGGAAGCAAGTTTTGATATAGAAGAAGAGAATTACTGGATAACCAAGGAGGCAAAGAGTGTGTTAGTTAGAAAGGGTTTTTTATTACTTAGAGCAAAAGATAAACCCACCCCAAACAGAAGATGTTTTTACCAAGCAGAAAGAGAGCACAGGCAAACAAATCAGCAAAGCTGCAAGTAGAAAAAAGGTCTCAGAATTTTCCACTGCGAGAAAACTGAAAAACAACTTCTAGTTTAAACTGTAATGTACTGACTTTTAGTGATTGGAGAATAGCAACACGAATATGATAATTATAGTAGTTATGATAGGCTATAGATAAAAGTTAAGGTATAGATTGGTTCTGCTGTATTAAGATGCTCAGCAAAGAAAAGTCTATAATGCAATGTAACCAAAATCAAAGGGGCTCCAGGCCTGCCTGCAGCTGGAGCTGACAGCTGTAAGCACAGCTCTTCACCCACCACCCTAGACTGCTGTAACCTCTTGGATGGAATGAACTGCATTTTAGAGAGCTGCCTGGAGTCCTGCATCTCTCATTTAGGCTCTTACAGGAGGTGATGTTTCAGGGTTATGAAGAGTCTCCCTGGTCTCTGTTTGGTGCAATTATCAAAGCCCCACAGTTCAGGAGCCCTCCCTGAAGCGTGAGGGGTACCGTGGGCAAGAGACCCTTTGGAAGTACAGGGTTCTGAGGTTGTGGAATTCACATTCTCTGCACCTGAGAGAAGCAGAGAAAAGCATGATCAAACAATTCTTATCTCATTGGCTGCTCCTGTGTGGTGCCAAAGCGAAATACAATATAGAATTGTTTACCCACAGTCATGGTGGTTTGTGTCCTTGGCCTATCAGAGCCAAGGGTGTGTGCAGACTGTTGGTCAGCAGACAGTCACAAAATTATAAGCAGTTGAGTTGAGTTAAATACTTGTATAAATTCAGTTTAATGTAATATAGTGTAATATAATATAAAATAATATAGTATAATAAAGTAATTAATTAACCTTCTAATAAGATAAAGTCCTCCTCATCATTCCTCCCAGATGTCAGGCAAACATATCACCAATACGAGGTATTGTTGGACACAACTATTTCCCTTTCCTCCATCTTTTGAAGATTGATTTTTAGCACAAACCATAACACCCAAGGGCTTCATCTGAGTGCCCAAAGACCCAGGACTTCATTGGGTCTTGGATCCATCTGGGCAGGAGCAGGGACATGCTTGTGGTGGAGATGTGAGGCTGATCAGTTGTTGGCTCCAGTCCTCTCCAGCTTTGCACCTGTGGTGTCTCTTCCCTGCAGCTGTATGACTTCTCAGCTGCAGAGGAAACTCCCTGTACTGTGGCCTTCCACCCCTTCTGGAAGATGCTGGCCTGTGGCTTCGACAGCGGCGTGGTGAGGATCTTCAACCTGGCTGCCTCTGACCTCCTGCTGGAGCACAAGTGAGTGAAGTGGGAGCTCCAGGGATGCAGCTGGGTGTCCTGGTGATGAGACAGAGCCACAGTGACACTCCTGGAGCTCCACAAGCCTCAGGTCCCAGCTGGGTGGGCTTGGGGCAGATCTGCTGTGCCAAGGCTGAGGCAGATCTGCTGTGCCAAGGCTCCGGGTGGTGAAAGCCCAAGCTGTGAAAGCTATGAGGGCTTTCTTTGTGACTTCCCAGTGGACAGCAGTAGGAAAGAGCTGGGCAGGGAGCCTTGTGAGCCTCAGTGTGGGGTTTGGAGGATGCTCCAAGGGAAAAGGGAGCAGGTTCCATCCAGGCTGGAGCCTGCACTCACTGCTCGGGTTTGTGACAGACAGAGTGTTGTTTGTCCTGGGCTGCTGCAGGGGTGAGCACAGCAGGGTCCTGCTCTGTTCCTGGTTAATTGATCCTCTTGGGTTCTTCACAGTGTTACACTCAACATCACCACTGTCCCCCTGTCTGTGATTCCTTTTTCTCTTCCCTTTTTCCATGTTTTCTGCTCCCTCTCAGGCAGCACCGCACTGCAGTCACTGGGCTGACCTTCTCTCCAGATGGAAATTTGATGTTCAGCTCCTGCCTGCAGGGAACTCTGGCTCTGTACAGACTTGTGGCACAGAAAATCCAGGTTCTGAGAGTCCTGGGTAAGGCCCTGGGGTTGGGATTGCCTTTCTTCTTTTTCTGTATTAGCACAGACATGCTGACACCAGAGCCAGCCCAAGCTCAGCCTGCTTGGAGTGATATTTCCCAATGAACCTTCTGAGCTTTGGCATTTCCCCCTGCTCTGGGCTTTGCTGAGGCACCTCCGGTCCTGGGGGCACTTCTGGGCCCCTCACAAGGCAGACACTGAGGGGCTGGAGCTTGTTCAGAGAAGGGAACAGAGCTGGGGAGGGGCTGGAGCACCAGGAGGGGCTGAGGGAGCTGGGAGGGGGCTCGGCCTGGAGCAAAGGAGGCTCAGGGGGGCCTTGTGGCTCTGCACAGCTCCTGACAGGAGGGGACAGCTGGGTAAGGGTTGGGCTCTGCACCCAGGGAACAGGGACAGGACAAAATGGCCTCAAATTGTGCCAGGGGAGGTTTAGATTTGATCATAGGAAAATTCCTTCATGGGAAGGGTGGTCAGGCACTGGCACAGCTGCCCAGGGCAGTGGTGGAGTCCCCATCCCTGCAAGGATTTAAAAGATGTGGATGTGGCACCTGGGGACATGTTTTAGTGGACTTGATGACCTTAGAAGGCATTCCCAGCCTCAATAATTCTGTGATTTCTGTTTATACCTTCTGTGTGAGCAAACCCCAGTGACTGCCAGCCTTTCCCTACCTGTTCAAACCCTCTCATCCTGCTGCTCTGATGATTTCATTAATGTGCTGGGGTCACAGAGATTTATTCATGCCCAAGCCCTGACTCTTTCCATTCTGTACATGTGCAATTTAATTTGTTTGAAGTGGATTGTTGCCCTAATCCTGCCTGCAGCAGAGCTGCTCTGTGCTGGTGAATGGAGCTGGTGGAGAGCTGGAGGCAGGGCAGGGGCAAGGCAGTTTGGAAAAATTAGTGTCACATTTAATGTACACTTTGAAAATGAGTTGTGACAGCACAAGCTTGGGCAGGGAAAGGGAACTCTGATTTTTATACAGTGTAATACTGCACAAAGAGGAGGAACCTGCCTCAGGAGGTGTGCAGGAGAAGGAACAGGGATTGGAGGAATCAGGAAATTAATCTAAAATAAACCAGGTTTGGTGTCAGTGCTGCAGCTGGACCTTCACGTGGTGCCTCTGCTCTGAAACTGTATTTGCTGCCTGGTCACGTTCCAGGGACAGAGCAGTGGAATTATGGTCATGGAATAAATACAGAGAATTGCTGTAATTTCTGTGATTTTCAGACCTCTGGGTCTCTCTGCCCTGTGGACTGACATCAGTGTGGTGGTGGTGAGCACCGACCTCATTCTGCTCTGGGTTCAGACACCCAGGCTGCAGCTGAGATCTCACAGCGCTCCTCATCACAGCCTCTTGTAACACTAAAAAATAAGCCCTGAAATCAATTTTATTCCTTTGACTTTGTTCTGCTCTCCTTGAAAACACTGCATGTTCACTCAGGCAACAAGCTGTGCATCTCAACCTTGTTTTTGAGGTGCTTCACTGCACATTCTGGGTGTGTAAATAAAATTTGCAGCATCTCCTAGAGCACAGGTTGCTTTTTTCTCGAGCTGCTGCTGAGCAGCACCATCAGAGTGGGCTTTGCTGCTCTTCACTGCCTTGCTGTGTCCCCCAGGCAATGTGGTGGCCCGGGATGGTGGCAGTGGCGTGGACACCCTGGTGCTCAGTGGGGACAGTCGCCTGCTGGCCTTCGTGGGGCCCTCCAAGTACGTGGTGACAGTGATGGAGGCCTGCTCACTCGATGAGGTACCCAGCAGAGTGCCCTCACTCTGGGGACAGGGCTGTCCCCTGGGAACCCCCAGGCAGCAGCCAGGGAGGTGGATCAGGGCAGGCAGTGAGCTCCCTGCTTTCCCTTCTGGGAGACAGAAGTAACACATTCAAGGTTTCTTCTCCTCTGCCTTCATTCTCTGCTTGAAAGATAATTTGGGGTGTGCTGTGGAGGCTGTCAGCTCTCACCTCTCTCTTGACCTGCTCTCCTGGGCATTGTCTGGACCTGCAGCCCCTTGTTAAGTGGAAGGGAAGGGTCCAGGGGCTCCATAGCTTTGTGTTAGGAGTATGGGATCAATCCTGAGGCTCCTGCAGTGGTTTTTCAGTGGCTCTTTGTTCCACAGCTGCTGAGGGTGGACATCAGCATCCTGGACCTGCACAGCACCATCCTGGACTCTGCAGTGAAGGTCTGCTTCGGTCCTGTGCCTCAGGGAGAGCTCCTGGTATCCACTTCTTCCAATAAAATCCTTGTGCTTGATGCAAGAACGGGGCGGCTGGTGCGAGAGGTAGGACACTGAAATTTATCCCCCAGGTCTCCTATGGGGGCTGGGCACTTCTTGTCTTTCTGGGGAGTTAAATGAGAGAAAAACTCCTCCTGCAGCTCACAGGCTTCAAAGAAACACAAGTGAGAAGCCTGCAGCTGTCCCAGTGTGCTGGTGCTCAGGGTGAGCCTGAGCTTGTCCTTGTTTTCCACACTGTCACACTGCTGTTCTGTTGTTTAAGTGTAAAGAAGGATATGAACCAGCTCAGCTAAGGCTGCTGGTGCCATTTCTTGTCCTCAGGTGTCTCCTGTGCACAAGCTGAGCTGTTCCTCCTTGGCACTGAGCAAGGATGGCCAGTACCTGCTGACTGCTGGTGACAAGGTCATCAAGGTGTGGGACTACAGGATGCGCTTCACCATCAACTTCCAGGTACTGCCCACCCGGGGGGAAGGGGGTGGTGTTGCATTGTGAGTCCCCAGGGAAGAGGGCAGCAAATGGGCTCTGTGTGACCTGGCCCAGTGTCCCCAGTCCCAGTTTGCCCAGCAGAGAAATGCAGCCCCAATCCCACACTGTGCCCAGCAGTGGGCACAGGCTGGGGCTGCCAGAGCACCCCAGTGAGAGGTGCAAAGGACAGAGGTAGATATAGCTCTGTGTTAGGGACAGAGAGAGAAAATGGAGAGGAAAATGGTTCAGAGGCAGGATAAGACTTTGGACTCTTCAGCTTTTCTTCCTTCCCCGAGTGAGTGTGCTGGAGGTCGGCCCTGGGTTGATCAGCCCACATGTGTGAGAACTGTAGGTGTGATAGATCCTCTTCTGGACCTTCTGCTGAAGCCTGTAGACCCTGGCTGGGCAGGACAGGGAGTGGAGAACCCCATCCTGACAGGACAGGTGGTGATGGGGATTCAAGGCCTGCTCTCTCCCAGGTGTTCATCGGCCACTCTGAGCCCGTGCACCAGGTCGCCTTCACCCCAGACCAAGAGCACATCATCAGCATTGGGGATGCCATCTTCCTCTGGGATTTCCTGGCTCCACCTCCAGTCAAGTCATCCCCAGGCAGGTAATGGTGCTGGCAGTGCCTGTGTGTGTCCCCTGTCCCTGCCCCTTCCCTGTGTGACTCCACTCTCCTCCCCTTCCCAGGGCTCGTTCCCCCATGTCCACTCTGCTGCTGGGCTCAGGTGAGTTTGCCTTTTCCTATGAGTTGTGCTGGCAGCTTTCCCAGAGGGATTTGGGGGGATGTTCCTTCCCTGAGGGGGTCATGTAGTGGGGGGCAAACCAGCTAATTAGCCTTGAGGGACAATCTCAAATTAATTGGCAGCACTTCTCAGTCTGCCTGGGTGGGGATGTTCTGAGCAGAGCCACTCTGGACTTTCTGGTAGATTTTCAGCTTTTGCCTTCTGTCTTTCTCTGCCTCCATCTCCTCTGTCTTCTTCCTCTCTCTGTCCCTCTCTTTCTTAAAACACAGAGAAGTGGTTTCTATGGAAGCTGAGGTGTCACCATGCAGAAGGATGAGAGGAGCATGGGCTGAAGGAAGTGACACCAAGCCCTTTTCTTTCCCAGACAGCAGCTCTGAGAAGCCCAAGGATGGCTCTGAGGCCCCTCGGCAGACAGTGCCTCTTCCACTGCTGTCCTCCCCACCGTGTCTGGATATCAGCTCTGGCCACCCAGCAGGGTTTCAAAGTAAGGAAAGGGGAAAATTAACCTTGTTTTAGGAAAAACTTGCTTATTTCAGCAGCATCCTTGGAGCCATCCCTACCTGTAGCCCCTTCTGGCAGACCAGTCTGCAATTCCTCCCCCTAAGCTGGGCTTAACTGGAGTTCAGCACCCCTTTATCCTCAGCTCTCCTGCACACACTGAGGTGCTGGCACAGCCTCTCTGACTGTGCTAAACACCTTGTTGGTCATTCCTGTAGGAATTATCTGCTTTGCCCTCCACCCTAACAGCTGAGCTGTTCCACAGAGCAGGGGTCAGGCCCACGTGAAGTGGTCCTGAAGGACATGGGTGGCTCCATCTTCCCAAGGACATGGGTGGCTCCATCTTCCCACTGATTTCTCTCCCCAGGTATTTCCTCTGAGTCGGACAGGGAGGAGGAAGCAGAACTGCCAGGCAGCAGCAGGAAGGTGGCAAATGAGCACAGAGATGCCTCAGTCATTGTGGTGGAATCAGATGGGAATGAGGAGCCTGTTGTGAGGCCCAGAGTGAGGCAGGAGGGCTCGAGGTCTCCTGAAAAACCAGCAAACGGTAAATCCAGGGATATTGTACAGAGCTGCAGGCCTGCATGGCAGCTTGGTCTATCCCCAAAAACCAAAGAAATGTCATTATTATTATTATTATGGAAGCAGAGAGACCCAGCCACGTGCTCTGTGCTGGGAGGTGAAAGGCTGCAATGTGTTCCCAAAGAGTTTTCGCTTGGCCATGACCTTCCAAGGGCACTCAATATTGAGGGGGACTCACATTGATCCCTAAATCTGCTCGTTTTTCTGGCTCTTTCCCTGCTGCTGCTTCTGGGCACACCAGAAGCCTGCCTTCAGCCTGGAGCCAGTATCATCTCTGAGTGGCACATCCCATTAAATCCAGCTGCAATTAAAGCTCCCAATGGCTCTATTAATAGCTGCACAGCCTGGGAGCTGCAGTGGTGTGTGGCAGCCTGCCAGGAGCAGGCAGCTGCCAGTGCTCAGTCCCTGCAGGACTTGTTGGAAAGCCTCAGGATAAAACTGCCCCCAGTGCTGCAGCTGTGGGGCTCCTGGTTCCACAGGGATCCCAGAGCACAAGGTGTGGCTGTCCTTAGGCTGTTTGCAGTGTGGTAGTGTGGGAAATTTAGGATTCTTGGATACCTAATTAATATGATTAAGTAGAAGCTGTTTATTGTTTACATTAAGTGCTTATTTATAATATTCCAACTTTACTGATTACATATTTTTTGTTGGTGTTTTTGTTTGTGTGTGTGTTTTGTATGTACTTTTTAGAATATGTGATTGGTTATACTTTAGGTGGTTTACAGTTCTTTGTGGTCTTGGAATTCAGTTTTTTAGTTTCTTCTTTCTTATTTTAGTACAGTTTATATCTTAGTAACTTTGAATTTTAGAGAGCTTTGAGAAGATTCTGGTAAGAACAGTTACAAGTGAAATGACTGGTGCACACTGTAGTCTAAATTGTTCAGATACATTGCTACAAGTGGGAAAGGAACTGAGAACTCCAGGGAATGGCTGGAGCAGAGTCAGGGAGGGTCAGGCTGGATATCAGGAAAAGGTTCTTCCCCCAGAGGGTGCTGGGCATTGATTGAACAGGCTCCCCAGGGAGTGGGCATGGCTGCCAGAGCTCCAGGAATGCTGGGATGGTGCTCTGAGGTGCAGGGTGGGATTGTTGGGGTGTCTGTGCAGGGTCAGGGATTGGACTCAGGGTCCTTGTGGGTCCCCTTCCCACTTGGCATATGTATATGTGTCACACATATGTAAATGTGTATGCATTATGTATGTGTCACACATGTGACACTGCAGTTGCTTTTTGCCTCGTGCGTGTTCACACATGCACAGCACCTGAATATAAGCAAGCCACAGCCTGGCTGCTGCTCCCAAACCCTTCCCAGGAGCAGCATCCCATAGGTACCATTTCCTCCTTTGTGTGGCAGAGCCCAGGAAGGGAACCAGAGCTCCCAAATGTTGCGTCCGCCCAGATTCCTACCGGCATTTCACCCCTCGCTTCAAGGCATCAGTGCTCCCCCAGGTGAGAGTTGTGCTGGATACCAGGTGGAGAAAAGGCATTTTGGGGCTGGGGTAGGTGGATTTTCCAAATTGTTTCCATTTTGTTCTCTGTTGGAAAGCAATTTGGGAGCTATGCCCCTGGGCTGATGTTCAGCACAGCAATCCTAATGTTAATACCCTGTTCTCTTCTACATGTAACTCTTCCCAGGCTAGTAAAAAGTGAGTTGTGCTGAACTCTTTTTGTGTTGCCCAAATCTGCATACATTTTTATTCAAAAGGAGTGGAAATGGCATGTGCTATTGAGAGTGAAAGACGAGTGAGCAATGGAGTGATTCATTGTGCTCCCATATTTGCGAGCAGCTGCATTGGCAGAGCAGGCTGGGGAAGGCAAATCCATGGAGCGTAGTGAGGAGAGACACAGCACAGCTCCTGCTCTGTTAACAAACACAGCAGGGATAAAACAGAAACTTAACTCAGCCCTTCCCTAAGCTCTGCTGCTGGTGCTGGGAGAACAGCTACATCCAGATTTCATCCCCACTCCTCTCCTCTGTCCCTCCACCTGGCTGCATTTTTCTCCCAGTTCTCTTCCTGTTAAAATATCTGCATCCCAAGTCAGCCAAACCCGTGGAACTCTTTCCCAGCAGGATTAGCAGCTGCTCCTTGGCTTGGCATTTGCTGCCAGCCTGTTTTGTCCCCTATCTAAAAGCATCTGTGCCTGGCTGTGCTGGGGCAGTGCCTCTTTTGTTATAGAATGTTATTTGTCTCTTCCGTTGTGGAATTGTGTGAGTGTTGGCATGGATCTGTGTGGGATGTGTTTGAGGACACTCACTTTTTCCTGTGTGGGTGTTGATGCATCTGACCAGACCATTCTTCCAGAGATTATTTTAAGCCAGTGTCTGTTTTTCTTGCAGAGTTTCTTGTCTCCTCCAGCGGGCAGTGAGGTGCTGAAGCTGAAAGCAGTGATCGGCTACAATGGGAATGGCAGAGGGAATATGGTGTGGAACCCAGATACAGGTACACTGGGAATGCTCTGCAGGGCTGGGATGTGTTGCCAGAGCAGCTGTGGCTGCCTCAGGATCCCTAAAGTGCCCAGTGCCACGCTGGACAGGACTTGGGGCAGCCTGGCATAGTGGAAGGTGTCCCTGCCCATGGCAGGGGGTAGAACAAGATGAGCTTTAAGGTCCCTCTCAACCCAACCCGTGTGTGATTCTGTTCTGTGATTCTAGGGGTGTGTATTGAGTGAGGTTATGATCTGACTGTTGGATTGGGATCTGTGCTTGAACACACAACTTCTCTGTGCTGGTAAAATCCAGTAGCTCTCTTCTGTTGACAAGCTTTATTTATTTGGTGGGACAGACTCAGGCCCCAGCTGTTGAGTGGACAGAGCAGGAGGGGAGCTCCCAAAGCCCATCCTGCCTCCTTTCTCCAGCTGGGATGGTGGCCAGCAGCTCTGCTTCACTCAGGTTGGGCAAAGTGAGATTTCACCCCGCTCCCAACCTGCTGCTGCTGAGCTGCATCAAAGACTCAGCTTTTACGTATTAATGAATCATAGAATTTTCCACGTGGGCTGTGGTGGGGGCTGGATGTGCAGCCTTTCCATGAAAACATCCCCTCTCCTCCCCCTGCTCTGCCAGGCTTCTTCGCCTACTCCTGTGGCTGCGTCATCGTGGTTGAAGACCTGCACTCGGGCTCGCAGAGCCACTGGCTGGGCCACGCCGAGGAGATCTCCACCCTCACCCTGAGCCACCACGCCCAGGTGGGAGGGGCCGCTCTGCCCCAGGACAGGGCTTGTCCCTGTCACTTTGCACTCCCACAGCCTAAAATCCCTAAAATCCCTCCCTTTCTGCCTGGAGGCTATGGAGATTGTTTTGGAGTCAGCTCTCTGTTGTGCTGGAGAATGTCCAGAGAAGGGAACAGAGCTGGGAAGGGGCTGGAGCACAAGTTGATGTGGAGCAAAGGAGGCTCAGGGGGGCCCTTGTGGCTCTGCACAGCTCCTGACAGGAGGGACAGCTGGCAGGGGTCAGGCTCTGCTCCCTGAACAGGGACAGGATGAGAGGGAACGGCCTCAGGCTGTGCCTGGGGAGGTTCAGGCTGAACATCAGGAAGAATTTCTCCATGGAAAGGGTGGCTAGGCTTTGGAAGGGGCTGCCCTGGAGTGCTGAATTCCCCATCCCTGGAGGTGTCCAAGGAGGAGCTGGATGTGGCACTCCATGCCCTGGGCTGGGTGACAAAGGGGGGATCAGCCACAGGTTGGACTTGATGGTCTTGGAGATCTTTCCCAGCCTCAATGATTCTGTAAAGGCTGTTCTCTTCCTCTGGGTGATGCTGCCTTTCCCTCCTGCCATCACTGAATGGTTGTTTCTCACTGAATTCCCCGTTTGCCAGCCACATCCCTTTAATGTGGGATAACTGAAAAAACCGTTAAGGCTAACGAGCATTCTCTAATTACACATTCTCTAATTACTTGCACGTTGTCTGTTAGGTTCTTGCCTCTGCCTCAGGGCAGAAGGATGGGGACTCCCACTGTCAGATCTGCATCTGGAGCACCCAGGATGGGGCCTGCACAGCAGAGCTGTTCCACCACAAGACACAAGTGCAAGCCATGGCATTCTCCTGGGATGACAGATTCCTTGTCACCATAGGTGAGCACTCCTGTCACAGCAGCTGGGGGTGCAGGGCTGCACCCCAGAGCAGACAGCTCATGGCAGGAGGGTGTTTGAGCACCAAACTCCTGCCAGATGTGCAGCAGGCTCGTGGGCAGGAAGCTGTGCTGTGGTATCCTTGGGACAGCAGGGAATGCAGCAGTTACAGCTTTCTTCTCCTGACTCACTCGTGCTTCTTAGACCCCCTGCAAATGGTTTCTGGTTGCTATTTATAGTGTGCAGAGGGAAAAGCCTTCTTCTGGACTTGTTATTGCTGCCTAGATGGACTTGGACAGAAGTAGCCAGGCTCCCAACTGTGAGCCTCCTGCCAGGCAGCCATGCCAGCACAGGATGGATGCTCAAGCTGTCTGTTTTGTTCAGGCAGGGGACATTTAAAGGACAACATGCAATTAGGAAGCTCTTGTTTTGCATGAGAGGGGACCTGTGGAGCAGGCAATACACTCCCTCCAGGCTGGTGAGGCTGCCTTTGGAAAGGAAAGCAGGCTTTGCTGGAGAGAAAGAGGGAGCTTTGTGCTCTTCAGGGAGCAGTGTGGGAGAGGAGCTCTCCTCCTCCAGCTCTGGTCTGGGCTGCAGGGAAGGGAAAAGCTGAAAGTCCTCACAGAGCTTGTGGAGCCTGGGGAAGGCAACAGGAGAGCACTGTCCTCCTGAGCTCTCTGGAAGCTTGGGAGCTTTGCCATCACTGAGGCCAATGCCTTCTGCTCCCACCCAGCTGTGGTGGCTCCATGGAGGTCAGCTCCCACCTCAGCTGGGACCTTGGCAAAGGTGACATCCCGTTCTTTGTCAAGACAGGGTTAGCCCTGTGTGCCCAGGTCACTGGAGAGTTTGTGTGGGGCATTCCCAAGGTGTGCAGAGACTCCAAGGATGGGGAAACTGCTCTGACATTGCTCTGCCTGCCCAATCCCAGCCTTGGCTGCTCCTTGCTACAGCCTTGCTACAATCTCCAGGGTGAAATGCTGGGCCAGTTCTGTCTGTCCTTAACTTGGGCAAGCCTCTGTCGTGTTGTGCAGCTTGTGCTGAGCACAGGAGGAGCTGTGTCCATGCCTGGAATGGTGTTTGGACAGCTGTCTCCCAACAGCTGGATGAGGGGTGGCACAGCTGATGTGTGTGTGCTGTGTGGATGAATGCTTGTGAGCATCCTGAGGCAGCAGAGTTTTTCCTGCTCTCTTTCCTTTCTCCTTAGGGGACTACAGTGACCAGACCATGGCTCTGTGGAGCACCCACACCTATGAGCTCGTGCTGTCCACTTGTATCTCAGAGCCTCTCCACGATGTGGCTTTTAGCCCTTTCTCTCACCAAGACCTTGCCTGTGTGGGGAGGGGAGCTGTGACATTCTGGGTGTTGGAGCAGCAGGAAGCTGCTGTCAGACTCAAGGTAAACCTTCCTTTTACCTTCTCAGATTTATTTTCAGCATCTCTGACTTATTTTCCAAGCCTCTGTTGAGGGCTCTGTGAGAGCTGATGATTTCTCTCAGTGAGGTGATATTGACTGTGCACAAACAGCTTTTGGTTGTATTTGAGGCATTAACTGCAGGAATTGAGGGGAGGAGGATGTTTTATCTCCTGATACATCTAAGCATGTTCGTTGCCTTTGACATTGCTGGTTTTGTGCTCTGGCAGGTTCATCGTGCCCCTGCCCCGGACGTGCTGGGGCTGGTGGAGCTGACATCTCTCTGCTATGGTGCTGAGGCTCTCCTTTACACTGGGACCAACTCAGGCCAGATCTGTGTGTGGGACACAGAGACCAATTCCTGCTTCATGACGTGGGAGGCTGATGAGGGCGAGATCGGTGGGTGCAGTGCCAGGGCTGAAGGGGAACGTGCTGGGAAGGGAGCCCTGAGCTCACACACTTCCTGTTTCAGCTGTGCTTGGAAACCAGTTTGCTGTGTTGGATGCAAGATGTGTGGGATGGCAATGGATCTGTCACCTGGGTCTCCTGGGGGCTTTATAGAATCATTAATGTTGGAAAAGGTCTCTAAGATCATCAGGTCCAACCAGTGACCCAGCACTGCCAGGTCCAGCATTAAACCATGTCCCTGAGCAGCACATCCACAATCTGTTTGGGTCCTGCAGGATGGTGGCTCCACCACTGCTCTGGGCAGCCTGTGCCAAAGCACCCACAGCCCTCTAGTTTGTATAACAGTGCTGGGCTGTAGAACTCTCCCACTTTGCTGCCCGAGTGGCTGTCAGGAGCACCCTTGGAGTGATGACAGAGTATCATTGTCACCACCTGTAATAAAGGGATGGGACCATTGTCAGGCTAGGAACAATTCATAGCTCAGACAAACATCAGTCTCAGAGGCCATGAGATTTTAGAGGAGTAGGCAGTTGGCCATAGCACAAAGTAGTCACAAGTCCTTTGTTACAAGGCAATATAGAACTTTCTAACCCAATGGACAGTTGTCACAGGGTTTATTTTGCTTTTCTAACCTGTCACCTTTACTTACTTCTACTGCACTGCAGATATTTTATCCAATAGGCTTCTGTCTCACATGCACACAGATGCTTCTGTTGTAACTTCTAAACTCTTAGCTTATTCTGTACAACCTCACCCCTACACTATAAACCCTTCACCATCTTACCCATGCAGTTTCTTATTTGCTTCAGGCATATTCTTACTTACAACTATAGAAACATAAGTTTCTGAATTTTCTGCCTAATGTCTGTGTATTGTATTTTTATATCAATCCAAGCTTCTCCCAAGGCTGCAAATCAAACCCTTCAGTATCTGTGGAAGTTTCAGTTTTTCTGATTCTCACATGTCTTGGTTTGAATAGCCAGGTGTCTCTTAAGGAAGGCAGGAGCCTTCCTTGAAATGGAAAATGGAAACCCCTCCCTCTGAATTACTATAACTTTTTAATTAAGAGGCTCCCAGGCAAAGATATGGGAATAGGAATAACAGTTTTTTACTAGGAAAAATTAAAAAATACAAATACCATAGTACAAAAAAACCCAGAAAACAAAAAACTGCCAGAGTCAGAATAGGAGCTGACCCTCTCTTGGTCAGGGCAGTGTCCCAGCCCCATCCATGGGGGCTCAGCCCTCCTGCAGTGCCAGCTGTGGCTCTGCTGCAGCAGGGATCCTGCACAAGGGGGGAGTTTTCCTCTGCAGCTCCAGGGCTGCTGCAGATGGGCCTGGGCTCCCTCTGGCCATGCAGGGCAGCAGAAAGCTGCTCCTCTGGCAATGCAGGGGGCAAAGGCTGCTGTGCTGGGCCAGGCTCAGATTGGATCCAGGTAGGAATGCTTGGCTCCTGCCCTGGGCACAGCATCTGCCCATGGGATGGTGGGAATTGGATCAGCCCTGCAGGGACACTCAGTGGCCATGGACAGCAGAGAGGGTTGGTTGTGGAAGAGATAAAACTGCCCAAAGAACAGAGGATACCTGCCCCATGTCTGACAGCTGTCAGACAGCATACACACACATACCTTACCCCCGGCACCCCCAAAGAGACCCTGCACACTGACAGGTTCCCTTCCTCCTCCCCAGGGGTGCTGCTGTGCCGGCACCAGCGCCTGCTCAGCGGCAGCAACACCAAGTGCATCCGCCTGTGGTCGGTGGGCAGCGTGCAGGAGCTGAGGCTGAAAGGGCCCAATGCCAGGTAGGAGCTCATGGTCTCTCACCTGGCAGCCCCCAGGACCGGTCTGAGAGGTGGCTTTTTGCAGACAGACACCACGTGCAACCATGCTGCTCCTGCTGCTCTGCATCCTTAGCTTTTTCTCTCCATCCCGTGACTGCTGGTTCTTTCTGTCTGGATCTTTTGACTGAATTTTTGCCACAGGTAGCTGAACCCTCTTAATAGTGGAAGTGGGTGTTTGTCATGCCTGAAGTTTGTGTCTGTGGTTTGTAGGAATTCCTTTAAGAGAAGTAGGGAAAATACATTGCCTTTGTTTCTTCTCTCATGCTATTGCATGCTCTATTCTTTTCTTTCCTGTAAAAAGATGGTTTAAGTACAAATCACAGAAATTGAATGGTTTGGGTGGGGAGGAACCTTCAAGACCATCCCATTCCAACCCTCCCTGCCATGGGCGGGGACACTTTTCACTATCCCAGGTTGCTCCAAGTCATGTCCAGCCTGGCCCTGGACACTGCCAGGGATCCAGGGGCAGCCACAGCTGCTCTGGGCACCCTGTGCCAGGGCCTGCCCACCCTGCCAGGGAACAATTCCTTCCCTACCTTCCATCCAACCCTGCCCTCTGGCAGTGGGAAGCCCCTCTCCCTTGTCCTGTCACTCCAGCTCTTGTCCAAAGTCCTTCTCCAGCTCTCCTGGAGTCCCTTTAGGAACTGGAAGGGGCTCTGAGGGCTCCCAGGATGCACAACCCCAGCTCTCCCAGTGACTGTCCCATGGACAGGAGCCCCTCATTGAACTGGCTCATTAGGAAGTTGGATTTAAAGCACACAGAGTGGCTGTTCCAACATCTGAGCCAGTCCTTCTCCCACCCTGCCTTCCTGCAGTTCTGGCTCAGTGCTGCTGGAGCACGAGATCACCCTGGATGGGACCATTGTGAGCGCAGCCTTTGATGACTCCCTGGAGATGGGGATTGTGGGCACCACGGCAGGGACCCTGTGGTACATCAACTGGCTGGAGAGCACCAGCATCCGACTCATCAGCGGCCACAAGAACAAGGTCAGGGGGCTGGGCTGCTTTGAGTTTTGCTGTTGCTTCAGGATCTCTTTCTGCTACAGAAAAAGGGGTTCAAATGGTGGGAGAGAAGGTATTTTATGACAGCTTGCAGTGCACCTTGCCTGTCCTACCTTTGGGGTTAGGTTTGTGCACCTTGCCTGGTCCTGCCTTTGGGGCTGGGTTTACTCTTTGCCATGATTGATAAGATTGGGAAAGACCTTTAAGATCATCAAGTCCAAGCACCAACCCAGCACCACCACAATATTCACCATTAAACCATGTCCCCACAAGCCACACCTACACATTTTTTGAACACTGTTGGGTATGGTGAATACTTTTGAATACTCCTGGGTATGGTGACAGGCTGCCCTGGGCAGCCTGTGCCAGTGCTTTTAAAACCATTTCTGTGAAGAAATTCTTCCTAATATTCAATCTAAATCTTCCCTGGTGCAAGTTGAGGACATTCCCTCTTGTCCTGTTAGCCCAAAAGCAAAGCTCTGCACCATCTTTTTTGTTCCCTCTCATCTGCTGTGTCCCATGAGCAGAATCCTGGGGATGAAGGGGCAGGGCAGCTGATGTGCTCTGGGCTGTGGCACCCTTAGAGCCCTGCTGTCTGCCTTTTCCCTGGAGCAGGTGACTGAGGTGTGCTTCAGTCCTGACGAGAGTCACTGTGCCACGTGCGGCGAGGACGGCAGCGTGAGGATCTGGGCTCTGGGCAGCACCGAGCTGGTGGTGCAGTTCCAGGTGCTCAACCAGGTAAGGGATCACATCAGTGCCTTCCTCTTGGCACAGGGAAATGTCCCCTGTGTCACCAGGTCTGTGCCAATTTCTTTGCAGAGCTGCCAGTGCCTGGCCTGGAAGCCTCGTCCCGTTGGGGTGTGGCCTTGTCCCAGCGAGAGCCAGCACGTGGTGGCAGGGTACAGTGATGGCACTGTCCGTGTGTTCAGTGTCTCCAGGACAGAGATGGAGCTGAAAATGCACCCCCATGCTGCTGCTCTGACAGCAGTCACCTACTCCACTGATGGTGAGCCTGCCTGAGGTGGCACTGGGGACATGGCACCTCAGGGAATGTGGCTTGGTGCTGCTCTGTGTCCTGGCCCCCTTCCCAAAACCCCAGGGCCAGGGAGAGCCACAGAGCTTGTCTCAGTGAGCTCTGGTGACTCTGCCAGCTGAGCATGTGGTGGGTGGGACACAGGAGGTGCATTGCCTCTGGGTTAGCCAAGGGGTTTGGGTACAACAGACACATCTGTTTATGATCTAATGTGTCTCTTCTTCAGTGTGGAGGTTTAATGTGTTCTCTGAGATATCTCATCACACCCAGCCCTTGACTGGGATGTTCCCAGCCTTTCACAGTGTTTCAGGACACTGATATCCCATAGCTTTGGACCTTTCGCCTGTTTTTTTCCTCCTACAAGAAGTGTCCCATTCTTTCCTCTCCTCTGCCACCAGGGGAAATGATCCTATCAGGGGGCAAGGATGGGATAGTGGCTGTCAGCAGCCCTCGCACTGGAATGACCATCCATGTCCTGGCTGACCACAAAGGCTCCCCCATCACTGTTCTCCAGTGCACCAGGAAGCAGGTGAGACCTCAGGAGTGACCCCAGTCCCCATCTGTCACTGCACAGCTCTGGTCAGCAAGTTTGCTTTGGTGTCCCTTGCTTTTCCTCTTTGGAAATCTTCCTCCATCCCCTCCAGCAATTTCTGATCAGCTTTTCCAGGGATGTATTCATTGGAATAAATCTCCATGTGTTGTAGGTGCAGCCTGAGTGAGGCTGTGCCTGCAGGGGGACCTTTGGTGGCAGTTTTTGACACCCTGCACACAGGTGTGACATGAACCTGTGCCACAGCCTCTTGGAGAGCAGCACCCCTCAGGGGCAGCCCAGGCTATCAGCCTGCAGACCCTGTGCCCCCCAAAAAGGGGTTTTGGCTCCTCTGTGGAGCTGGGAAGACTTGGCTGTGCAGCAGTGGGATGGTTTGAGTACCTCCTTTGCCTCCTCTTCATGGAGAGAATTTTTCCCTTTGCACAGCAAAAGTGGGAATAGTTTCCCCTAAGCTCTCAGGCTTTAAGATCATGTACACTGCAGGGCTGTGTTTCCTGGTAATCTGAGAGTGAGGAAATCCTCCTTGATTTGAGGTGAAGGACGTTGTTAGGGGACACAGGGTATTGGAAATAACTCCCCTAGGAGATGTGCAGATCCACAGGGTGTCCCAAGGCAGAGAACTGTGTTGTTCAGAGCAGGATTTGGGTTGGAAAGGGCCTTAAAAATCATCCATTTCCAGCCCCCTGCTATTGTAAATCAAAGGTGACTCTGACAAAGGGGAGAGAATGATGCATCTGACTCCACTGATATCAGAAGGCTAATAAATTACTTTATTATACTATACTATATACATTTCATCTAAACTGAATCTGCCAACCACTCACTCTGCACACAACTGCAGACACTGCACTGAATCTCATGACTGTCACCCAACAGTCCCCACACACACACACTCTTGGCCCTGACAGGCCAAGGAAAGAAAACATCCTCACTTTGGATAAACAATCTCCATATTGCATTCTACTTTGGCACAAACACAGGCACAGCAAGTAATAAGAATTGTGTTTTCCCTTTCTCTGAGGTTCAGAGAATGTGAATCTCACAAATCCTTGGGAAGAATTGTGCCTTGCTTTTCTCTGTGAAGGGAAATGTGGCAACACCCTGCCATGTGCAGGGACCCCTCTCACTAGGCCAGGTTTCTCCAAGCCCTGTCCAGCCTGGCTTTGGACACTTCCAGGGATGGAGCAGCCACAAACAGAAGTTAATCCCAGCTTTCATCCCCTAAATACAATCCCCATGTTCCCATGAGTTTCTGTCCCACTCTTTACTGTCTCCCTCCTTCAAAGCCTCTGTACACCAAGGACAGGGCTGTGTTTCTGCCCCCAGTATCACGAGAAGGAGAGGAGCTCACAAGGACAGGGCTGTGTTTCTGCCCCCAGTACCAAGCTCAGGGTGGAAGGAGAGGAGCTCACAAGGACAGGGCTGTGTTTCTGCCCCCAGTACCACGAGCTTGGGGTGGAAAGAGGGGAGCTCAGAAGTTCAGGGCTGTGTTTCTTTCTGCCCCCAGTACCATGAGAAGGAGGGGAGCTCACAAGGACAGGGCTGTGTTTCTGCCCCCAGTACCATGAGAAGGAGGGGAGCTCACAAGGACAGGGCTGTGTTTCTGCCCCCAGTACCATAAGCTTGGGATGGAAGGAGGGGAGCTCACAAGGACAGGGCTGTGTTTCTGCCCCCAGTACCACGAGCTTGGGGTGGAAAGAGGGGAGCTCAGAAGGACAGGGGCTGTGTTTCTGCCCCCAGTACCATGAGAAGGAGGGGAGCTCACAAGGACAGGGCTGTGTTTCTGCCCCCAATACCAAGCTCAGGGTGGAAGGAGGGGAGCTCAGAAGTTCAGGGCTGTGTTTCTTTCTGCCCCCAGTACCACGAGCTCGGGGTGGAAGGAGGGGAGCTGTGGCTGGCAGCCAGCTCCGACCGCCGCGTCAGCGTCTGGGGCTCCGACTGGCTCCAGGACAAGTGTGAGCTCCTCGACTGGCTCAGCTTCCCAGCCCCTGCTGGCCCTGAGGTGAGTGTGGCACCTGCCAGGCCCTGCCTGCTCCTGGTGTGAGGCTGGGCACCAGCAGAGATGGAGGAGGGAGGCACAGGGCGCTGATAGGGAAGGCATCTCTGTTAGTCCAGCTCACAGAGTGTCTTGCCATGCACCTTCTTGGGTGTGAAAATAAAGTGTAGCAGTGCCAGACTGCTCTGCAGCACTGATTTTAAGCATGGGAGCCCTAAACTGCACCTGCAAAGAGCTGAGAGCCCTGTGGCATCCAAAGCAGAGCCCAGGCAGCAGTGAGCAGGAGGGAGAGCTAATTATGAGCGTGCTGCTAATTCTGACACTCCTGAGTGTGAGTGCTCTGAGCCAGGAGCGTGGTGATGGCATCCCAGAGCCAAGTACTCAGCCCTGTGTGTCCCTGCTGCTTGGCAGAGGCCTCTGGCTCCAGCCCAGGGGCAGGGTTTGGGCAGCAGGACACCTGCTGGAAAAGCAGGAGGATCTGTGTTGGTTGGAGAGGATGGAGATGGTCCCTGGTGCAGGTGCCATTGGCAGACAGAAGGGAGCTGGGTGGTTTTGGGGGGCAAGAGGCAGTGCCTCAGACTGGGTCCATACAGCACCTGGGCTCTGTCAATAATTCTTCTGTTCATTTCCAATAAGATGGATTTGGTCTGGAAAGAAGCTCACTACAGCTCTCCCTCCAGCATGAAGGTTTGATCTTGCATTCCCTGCTCAAGATCTGCCTCCTGGGCCCTGTTTTCTTGTGTTAAGCTGATCCATAACCAAATCCCAGCTTCAAGCCCATGCAGCAGTAATATCTCAGTGGGAATTCAACCTGTTGGAGCCTCATGGGACCTGCTCCTACAACACTAAACGATTTGCTTCAGGTTTCCATGGCAGGGTGTGGTTGTTCCTTGCATTCCCTGAGCCAGAGATGGGAATGCAAGAGGGAGGAAGCAGCCTGCACCATACTCATGTCCCACTACTCAAACCCTCAGAGCCCTGGGGTCCCTCTGTGCTCTCCTTTTATCTCTCATTGATCCAAAAAAGAGAATCCAGCCTCAGTTTTGTTGCCTTTGGTTTCCCTCTCCAGGGTCTGGACAGCCTCCCTCCCAGCCTGGCTGCGTTCTGCCCTTGGGAACATGGTGTCTTGGTCTACGTGGGCTTTGGGCTGCAGAAGGAAGCTTTGTTCTACAGCCTGAGGAAGAAACAGGTACCTGTCCCCTGCCACGGAGAGTGGGGGCTGCCCTGTGTGTTACCCTCAGTGCCAGGGGTGGGGTGGGCTCAGGCAGCTGCTCAGGGAACAGATTTTCATTTTGGAAACTCCTGAGTGTGGCCCAGGTGAGCAGCAGAGCCCTGCCCCAGCCTCAGGCTGCCTCCAGGCAGGCAGCCAGTCCCTGATCCCAGGGAGGGGAAGGTGGCTGCTTCCAGAGCATCAACACTCTCTCTCCATTGTCTCCTGGATGCCTGGGGCAGCTTTAGGAGCTGTGCACCCTCAGCCTCCCCATCACCCTCCTTTAGGGCTGTGGCTGCACAACTGTGGCTCTGCCCTCCCCTTTGAGCTGCCCGTGTTTCTCTTGCTGGCCTGCAGGTGCTCAGGAAGATCTCCCTGCCAGCCTTTGCCACGTCCCTCAGCCTGTCCCCAGCTGCACCTTTCATGGCTCTTGGCTTCGGTGGTGAGTGCTGGGGGTGCCTGGGCCCCTCCTTCTTCTGCCAGAGGGGAAATGAGTGTCCTCATTCCTCCAAACAAGAAACATGCCCTCGAATCTGGGAGCTACGGTCCAGGGCAAGGAGAAACCTCCAGGAGGCTCCTGGGTCAGAAATGAGATGCATGAGGTCAATCCTGCTTGGCCACAGGCAGGGTTTGTCGCTGGAATGACTTCCCGGGGTTCTGGGCTGTGTCCATTTCTGCAGCCTCTGAGGCAGCAGGGACCTTCCCACAGCACGGGGACAGACAGGACCCTGCTCCTGGCAAGGGCACCTCAGTCCTGGAGCAGTTTGGGTCTGTCTGTCCTGTCACTCAGCTCAGCGGCTCAACTTCCAGCTCAGCAATGGGGAGGGAGCCTGGGAGTGGTGCTTATGTCTGGGAAAGGACAGGGACAGGGGCTGGGGACGACTGGAAGTAGGGCTTCTGGCTGGGAAAGGACCGGGACAGGGGCTGGGGGTGACTGGGAACAGGGCTTGTGGCTGGGAAAGGACAGGAAGGGAGGCTGAGGGGGAATGGTGCTTCTGGCCAGAACAGGACATGGAAAGGGGGTGGGAGGTGACCACAAATGGTGCTTCTGGAAGGGACTAGAAATGGAGAAGGTCTATGAGTGACAGGGAATGGTCTGGAGGGCGATGGGGGGCAGTGGGAGGCTCCTGGCACAGCCCTGAGCTGCTGCTTTCCCCAGACCGGCTGCTTCGGCTGCAGCCCTGCCCCGCCGGGGCCCCTCAGGACTACGCCGGCCATGACGACACCGTGCACCTCTGCCGCTTCGCGCCCTCGGGCCGCCGCCTCCTCACGGCCTCGCACAGCGCCGTGCTCGTGTGGGAGCTGCCGGGCGCCTGAGCCGGGCTGGCCCCGCACCAGCGACGCTTCTCCAGCAGGACAGGCCTCGGCTACGGCCGCAGCCAGGCCCGAACCGCCGCCCTCACGGCTGCAGCGGCTGGCCCGCCCGCGGCCCCGCCCGGGCCCGGAATGTGTGTCACGGCGCCGTTCGCCGTTTGTTGCCGTTGAACGTTTTGTTTTCGTTAATAAACCATCCAAAGACCAAGGCTGGAGGTCTGTGTATGCTGGCGCCGCCAGGGGGCGCCGCGCTGCCCGCGCCGCTCTGCGCCGCCGCTCGGTGCTGCGGCCGGAAGCGGGGGGAGCCGGGCCGGGCCGGGCAGGCGGCGGCGCCGCCATGAAGCGGGACGTGCGGATCCTCCTGCTCGGGGAGGGTGAGGGGGGCACGGGCACGGGGCCGGGGGAGGCTCCTCCAGCCCGGCAAGGGGCAGGGGGCACGGGGAGCCCGGGGGAGAGGGTTCTTCTGCAAGGGCGGGACGAGGGCGGGCAGGGGGCCCAGGCGGACCCCCCGTCACAGGCGGGACCAAGGGACAGACCGGGCCCGTCATTGTCACCGGGCGATCCCGACTCCGGCCGGGGCTCCCACCTGCCGCTGGCCCCCTCAGGCTCTGCTGTGCCGGTGCCCATGTCAACGTCCTCCCTTTATTTCCTAGCCCAGGTGGGGAAGACGTCCCTGATCATGGCTCTGGTGGGAGAGGAGTTTCCTGAAGAGGTGAGTGGGGAGGGGACGCGCACGGCCCAGCCTGGGCCCCTCGCTGGGTGGGACAGCTCTGTCCCCTGTGGAGGTGGGGCTGGGTGGGACAGCTCTGTCCCCAGTGTCCCCGGCGGAGATGGGGCTGGGTGGGACAACTCTGTCCCCAGTGTCCCCGCTGGAGGTGGGACTGTCTGGGAGGTGCTCGCAGCTCCCGGGGCTGTGGCAGCCACGGGGCTGGTTCAGGTGAGCTCACTGAGGACCACACGGAGCTCCAGCTGTGGTGGTGTTCTCCTCACTTTGTGCTCTTGGGGGCTGATCCTGACTTGCAGCTCTCTGCCCAGAGGATGGTGTTAGTGCCTCCCAGGGCCCCCCTTGCTACTGCTGGGGTTCTCTGTCACCAGCACAGCGGGGCTGGCACCACCACAGAGCCCTTGGAAGGGGCAGCCCCATTCCCTGCCCGCTGCACCCTCTGGAGATGGGTTTGGTGCTCTGAGCAGTAGCATCCAGCCAGATGCTCCCCTCAACAGCTGGCTGTCCCAGCATAGTTTGGGTAGGGAAATGGGATCAGTCTGTCCAGGCACATTTTCCCTGAGCTTCAGGTGGTTTCTCCTGCTGCCCAGGTGTGCCCTCCATGGTGTTGTGCTGGGCAGCATCAGCTCAAGGGTTTGGGGGAACCAGCCTGCACCCCTTCCCTGCTCCCAGCCCAGCCCACAGAACCAGAACAAGAGCACTCCCAGGGAGTGCCCAGGGCTTATCCACTGGGATCAGGAGCTTGGTGTGAGGGAGGCAGGTGGAAGTTCCACCTGGAGGACACTGCCTGTGCCAGGGCTGGAGTACAGGGGGCTGCTGCAGCCTGGTGGGCCAAGAGTGACCTGTGATCCACAGCTCATCCTGCCCTGGCAGTGGCCAAGGCCCTGATGTCCCTTGTCACCTGTGCTGCTTGGCTGGAGGGGGTGTGCTGCCTTTGCAGGTGCCCCCCCGGGCAGAGGAGATCACCATCCCGGCTGATGTCACCCCTGAGAAGGTCCCCACACACATAGTGGACTACTCAGGTAGGGCCCTGTCCTGGCTGGCTTCTCCCCTTCCCTGCCTGCCTGAGGGCATTGGGACGGGGTGGCCCTGCCTGGGCAGGTGGTGATGGCTTCATTCCCCTTGCAGAGTCGGAGCAGACGGAGGAGGAGCTGCAGGAGGAGATCGCCAAGGTGAGCAGGGCTGGCCGGGATGGGGACAGGAGGCTGTGGTCCCCAGGGGATGCATGGCTGCCCCCTCCCCTCCCTGTTAGCCACCCAGAGAGGCACAGGCAGTTGGTTATCCATGGATTAATGCTCCTGGTTTGTTTAGAGGCTTGTTTAATCCTGCTCTGTCTTGTAAGCTGTTGTGTGTGGCTTGTCCAAGGCCTCTGGGAGCCTCCAGAAGGCGAGTGGCGGGGGCAGCTCACTGCCCACGGGAGGAGGAGGAGGAGGAGGCAGGAGCAAACACTGTGCTCTCAGCCTCGGGATATCCCCCGCAGACTCAGAAGAGGGAGGAGCAGTGGCTGGGTTTGGGCAAGACCCCTGCTTAGATCCCTGTGGCTGCCTGATAAAGCAGAGGCACAGAGGAGTTAATTTGGGAGCTGGAGCTGCTGGCGAGCGCTGGGCAGGGAGGGATGAGGGAGCTCTCAGAGCAGCCATGGAGGAATAATTAAGTTGTCTGGCTGGGTTGGACCCAGCTGCTCTTTGCCCTGGGATTAACCTTGACTCTGCAGACATGAGGACCTTTTAATTATGGATAATAAAACCATCTCTCTCACGTGAACAAAGCTGTTTAATCTCCCAACCCCGGTGGCTAACAGTCGAGAAGGTGGGCGCGGGGGTCCTGCTCCCTCCACCCAGACAGCAGGAGTACACAGAAGCTTTAAATGGCTCCAGGAAATCCTGCCTAAACCCTTGTGTGTCCTCGGATTAGCATTAAACTCTCTGCTGAAAGGACCAGTGATCCCTCCTGTCTGCTTCCGATAAAGCCTCGGTGCTGGCCCTGTCTGCAGGGGTTGGGAGGGGAGGAGAGCTGGGACCAGGCTGCTGTGGGAGGGGGGTCTGGGCCAGCAGGCGTGGGAGCAGCAGCTCCTGAGGCAGAGGAACTTCTCCAGCAGCTCCTGAGGCAGAGGAACTTCTCCAGCAGCTCCTGAGGCACAGGAGCTGCTCCCAGGAGCTCGAGGGCTCGTGCTGAGGGCGCAGGGGGCTGTGTACGTGTCCGTGCTCATGTGCACTCGGCTGAGTGCTTCCCTGGCAGCTCAGGCAGCATTCCCTGCTGCCCTGGCATTCCCTGCTTCCATGGTGTTCCCTGCTGCCCTGGCATTCCCTGCTGCCCTGGCATTCCCTACTTCCATGTCATTCCCTGCTTCCATGGCATTCCCTGCTGCCCTGGCATCCCTGCTGCCCTGGCATTCCCTGCTGCCATGGCATTCCCTGCTGCCATGGCATTCCCTGATTCCATGGCATTCCCTGCAGCCCTGGCATTCCCTGCTGCCCTGGCATTCCCTGCTCCCATGGCATTCCCTGCTGCCCTGGCATTCTCTGCTGCCCTGGCATTCCCTGCTGCCCTGGCATTCCCTGCTTCCATGTCATTCCCTGCTTCCATGTCATTCCCTGCTGCCCTGGCATTCCCTGCAGCCCTGGCATCCCTGCTCCCATGGCGTTCCCTGCTGCCCTGGCATTCCCTGCTGCCCTGGCATTCCCTGCTTCCATGTCATTCCCTGCTGCCTTGGCATTCCCTGCTCCCATGGCATCCCTGCTTCCCTGGCGTTCTCTGCTCCCATGGCATTCCCTGCTGCCCTGGCATCCCTGCTCCCATGGCATTCCCTGCTGCCCTGGCATTCTCTGCTGCCCTGGCATCCCTGCTCCCATGGCGTTCCCTGCTGCCCTGGCATTCCCTACTCCCATGTCATTCCCTGCTTCCATGGCATTCCCTGCTCCCATGGCATTCCCTGCTGCCCTGGCATTCCTTGCTGCCACGAGTGTGGCAGGACCCTCTCACCACCCTCTCCTGTTTCTCTTGCAGGCCAACGTGGTCTGCATGGTGTACGATGTCACCAAGGAGGCCACCATTGACAAGGTAATGGGTCCCTGCCACAGCCCTGCTCCAGCAGCAGGACCAGAGGGGGTTCCCAGTGCTGGGATTTTCCTGCTGCCCTGTGGTGTGGGCATGTACTGATGGCCCCTGGCTCTGTGGGATTTTGGGTCAGAGATTCCTGCAAGGAGAAGCTAAATCCCACCCAAGGCTGTTACTCACAGCAGGACAGCAGGCTTGTTGCATCGTGGTGCTGGCACCCAGCACCCCTGGGGCTGCTCTGCCTGCTGGTGTGAGGGGATGCTGGGGAGCAGATGGCTGCAGGGAATGTTCCTGCCTGCCTGCAGCTGCCTCTCCCTGCCCAGCTGTGCTCACAGCCCTTTCCCTCTGCTCACCTTCCAGATTCGCACAAAGTGGATCCCCATGGTGAATGGGGGACTGGAAAAGGGATCCAGGTACCGTGTGGGGTGTGATCTGGGGTGCAGAATTGGGGGGTCCTGGGGGCTGTGGAGTGCCCACCATCCTCACCTCCTTCTGAGGGTACTGAGAGCCAACCAGCTTTGTGGTTTGATCCAGGCTGGGTTGAATGGGAGCCATGGTCTAATGGGGGTGTCCCTGCCTATGGCAGGGGGTGGGATGAGATGAACTTTAAGGTCCCTCCCAACCAAAACCATTCCAGGACTGTGGTTTGTGGCCAGACCACTTAGAGCAGAAGCACACGGGCACTTTCCTCCACCAGAGATCCAGCTGAGGCAGGGGGTCACTGAGGAGGGATCCTTCTCCCCCCTTGATCTCTTCTCAGCCACACAGGGAGAGGAGGCTGCCAGGGGGGTGTGGGAGCACAGAAGCTTTAGTTTGTGTGTGGATCTCTTGGGCAGAAGGCTGCTGTGCTGGATTAAAGGCTCCTGAGCATATTGTTGCTGGGTGAAAGCATAAGCAGGATCAGGCAGTCTGTTTCTCCAGATGGATGCTCCTGGCTGTGGGAGGCAGGAAAGCTGCTTTGGACCTTGCAGAGGAGAGCTGGGGCCTCCCTGACCTGCCCATGGGAGCACCAATGGCTGGCACAGTGCTGGGAGGGGTGGCCTCACTTGTGCTCTGTGTCTTTTCCTAGAATCCCCATTATTTTAGTGGGAAACAAGTCTGACCTGCAGGTGGGCAGCTCCATGGAGGTCATCCTGCCCATCATGAACCAGTTCTCGGAGATTGAGACCTGTGTGGAGGTGAGGGGGCTGGGGGGTGTGCAGGGCTTCCCTGAGGGGTGGGAATGCTGGTTTGGTGATAGTCAGGGAGCCTCTGTGCCCCTGGAGAGCTGCCCTGATGGTGTTCTCTGCACAAGTCCAGGCGTTGAGAGCCTGTCCTTTGGCCTTTCTGTCCTTTAACCCCTTGCCAAGGAGCAGCTTTCTGTGTCTGCCCTCTGTGGCTCTCTAGTTGGAGCTCCACACAGGCCCTGTTGGTTCTGGGGTGTGGAATGGGCACAACAAAGCCAGAACAAACCCCAGGAGATTGTCCCTTTGGATTTTTCCTCCTGGTGGACAAATGTTGCTCTGGGCTTTGAGGCACAGCTAGTCTGGCTGGGGGAGATTGTGTCATCCTCTCTCTCCTTCTGAATCCCCAGTGCTCTGCCAAGAACCTCAAGAACATCTCTGAGCTCTTCTACTATGCCCAGAAAGCTGTGCTGCACCCCACTGCCCCGCTCTACGACCCAGAGGAGAAGCAGGTGGGCTCCTGGGGAGTCTCCTTCCCTCACACTGCTCTGGGCTGGAGGTTTTGGAATGCAGGTGGAGGGTTTGGGCTGGCACTGACGGGCCAAGGGAGCAGTGCCCATCTCCTGTGCTCAGTACAGACACCTGCAGGGACTTGGGTGGGCTGGGGCAGAAGCCCTCATGCTCCAGGTTGTGTCTTGGTTGTGGAGGGAAGGGTCAAGAAGAAAAATTCCCCATGGATTGTCCTCTCTGACTTTAGATGGGATATTAGGAAAAATTTCTTCATGGTAGGGTTGGTCAGGCACTGGCACAGGTGGAATGGTGGAGTCAGCATTCCTGGAAGGATTTCAAAGCTCTGTGGATGTGACACTTGGGGACATGGGCTAATGGTGGCCTTGGCAGTGCTGGGGGAACAGCTGGACTCAGATCTTGGGGCAGTTTTCCACCCTCAATGATTCCATGATTCCCACCTCCAAGGAGACTGTAGTACAGGCCTAGAAGGAAAGGAGCCCTCTGTGTGTGGGGCTGCAGGAGGAAGGGCCAGGCTGTGGCTGGCGCTGTCATTGTCACCATGGTTGGTCCTTGCAGCTCAAACCCGCCTGTGCTCGAGCGCTGACCCGCATCTTCAACCTCTCAGACCAGGACAACAACCAGATCCTCAGTGATGATGAGCTCAACTACTTCCAGGTAGGGTGGCTGCAGAGCTGAGGAGTTCCCCAGTGCCTGGGATTCCCTCTGCAGCAGGGGAGCTGCCCCTCCTGGCACAGCCATCCTGTTCCTGTTTGGTGTTTCTGTGGCACAGCTGGGTGCATCTCTGAGCATGTGGGGTTCCATTTCCCTAAGCTTGGGCTGAGTTTGCTCTGCCATGGGAAGACCAGGAGGCTCTGGGGATGCTGAGAGCCCTGAATTATTGGGATGCTGAAGAACAGGGGTTTGGTCAAGGCATAAGACAAATCCATGAGCTGGGTGGATTTTCCCTCCCTGAAACCCCAATCCTTGGCAGGGGAGAGGGAACCTGGTGAGACAGGATTGTGCTCTCTGAGTGCTTTCCTGACAATGGTGTTCATTCTCTTGGGAGGCAGAAATCTTGTTTTGGAAACCCCCTGGCTCCCCAGGCCCTGGAGGATGTGAAGATGGTTGTGTGGAAGAACACGACGGACGGGGTGCAGGACAACGGCCTCACCTTGAACGGTAACAAACAGCCTGAGGGCTGCGTGCTCCTCCCCAGGGGAGAGGGAATCCACCTCCCTCAGCACATCCCAGGGGCTGCCCTTGCCCTGAGCCTCCTGGCCTAGTTAGTCCAGGCCTAGTTAGTCCCTGTTGTTAAAGCAAGCTGCTGTGGCTCTCTGAGCCAGCAGTGTTTTCCCAGGGGCAGCATGGCTGAGGAGTGCACCCCTGAGCCTGAGCTGACTCCACTGAGCCCCGAGCCTGAGCTGACTCCCCTGTGGCTGAGCCCCTGATCTCTCCTGCAGGCTTCCTCTTCCTCAACACCCTCTTCATCCAGAGGGGCCGGCACGAGACCACCTGGACCATCCTGCGCCGCTTCGGCTACGACGACGAGCTGGAGCTGACGGATGATTACCTGTACCCACAGTGAGTGCCCAGGGCTGGCCAGGGGCCACATCCCCCTGGTGCATGGCCCAGCATCCCCAGCACCCTGGCTGCATCCTTCCTGCAGCCCAGGAGCTGCTCTGGGCCCTTAGGTCGGGTCAGGTTCACAGTGCTCACCTTCCCCTGGGGCAGGAGCTGACACGTGGGCTCGGGGACAAACACAGCACGCCTGGGGCTGCTGATTTAGGCAGACAGCAAGGTGGGGAGTGAAATGCAGACTTGCCTTGACATCAGCAAGGGGTTCTTGGAGGCTGCTGTGTGCCTGGCTGAGCGAGGCAGAGCGGCTCTGTCGGGAGCAGTGAGCTGTCAGCACAGCCCTCGCGGCGCATTGTGCCGCTGCTGTCTCCTCTCTGCTCCCTGCCACTCTGGAGATGGGGAGCTGGCAGCAATGGCAGGGGTTGGCTTGGGAGCTGCCTCCTCCTCTTCTCAGAGAGCAAGCTGCAGGGAGGTGACAGGGACACGCTGGTGGATGGCACCCAGGGCACTGCTGAAGCCCTGGGCATGAGGCAAAGTGAGGGCACAGCATCTCCTGGGCTGCCTGGGATGTGCCAGGGAAAGGCCACTGTGCATCCTCAAGGGATTCTCCACTAAATAAAGGGGCTGTGTCAAGGAATAGCCAGGCCTGGAGGCAACAGCTGACCTTGAGCAGGGAGGGAGTGGGGAGCTATTTCCCCTGGGTGAGATGTGCTCACACACTGCCCTTCATTCAGGGCTTGAGGAGGTTTATTTGGGTATCTGAACTGCAGAATAAGATATGAGAGATAAAAGGGAGGTTTTAGGTTGGGTAGTAGGAAAAATTTCTCTGCTGAAAGGGTTAGGTTGGGTAGTAGGAAAAATTTCCTAGGTTTTCTTAGGTTTAAGTTGGGTAGTAGGAAAAACTACTCTGGTGAAAGGCACTGGCACAGCTTCCCAGGGCAGTGGTGGAGCTCCCCCATCACTGGAGGGATTTAAAGCCATGTAGATGTGGCACTTGGGGACATGGATCAATGGTAACTTTGACAGTGTTGGAACAGTTGGACTCAATCAGAGAGGGCTTTTCCAACCTAAATAATTCCATGGTTTTCCCAACAGGATCCGTGTGCCCCCCGGCTGCTCCACAGAGCTCAACCACTTGGGATACCAATTCCTGCAGAGGCTCTTTGAGAAGCACGACAAGGTGGGCAGCAGGGCAGGGGCTGCAGGGCAGGGCCTGCACACCTGGGCACAGCTGCTCCCCTAACCCCCCTGTGTGCCAGGGAGCACCAGGGAAGGGCTGTCCTCTGCCACAGCATTCCCTCTTTGGAGGCTTTGGGAGCAGCAAGAGGCCACAGCAAGCTGTAGGTAGTGTGATGGCCTGTCAGGGACGTGGGGTTTGGTCACTACTCTTGGCCAAAAGACAGTTTGGACTTTGAAGGACTGGGTCTGAGTTGGCATCAAGCTGGCATGGCCCTTGTAGTGCCTGGCTGCAGCAGGCAGGGAATTGG